AAAGCTAGCAAAGAAGCAAAAGAAAAGAGTTTTTCTTGAAAAGAAAATCCCATTTAGGCGTGTAACGAAGGGTTTCTGTTGCGCAATATGTGGAGTAAGAAATCAATCAGCAGTTGTGTAACTTCTGCCACAGAAAACACCTCAGAGATTCAAAATTAATTTAAAATTGCTATGCTTCAGCACGGGGCTTCAATTTCTCAACCATTAACCCACTTCCTTTGGAAATCCGCGTGGAAATTGCGCGCGCGAGAGGTGGAGAATTGCGGATTGTTTGAGAAATTTGTTGAGTGCGGATATGGAACAAGTGTATTTTCTTGAGTTGCCGGATAAAACTTGAGCAAACGTCAAATTGTTTGGATTTTCACACACATGTACTCGAGTCTTCCAATCTTCCAATCCTGGCAAAACACACACACTCTCACATCCGCATCCTGAGCTCCTGAGAAGTTGATACGCGTCTAGTTTCCATTGAGCGGAAAATTCCATTTGATAAAACTACATAAATCTACTCTCTCTCTCTCTGTCGCTGTTTCTCAATGGATTTTCTATACATCCGCACACACACAATCTCTCTTCTCCCCTTGCTTGTGATACTCCTGAGCGATGCTTTGTGCTGCACATAAAAAAGTCTATCCCTTCGAGTGATTATCTGGGCACGTATTTAGGATTAAGTGTGAAAATGCATTAAATTGCACTACATTCTCTCTCTCTATGTTGTCTCCAAACATCTCTTCTATTTCAACCTCCCTCTCATAGTTTGTGTGCACCTTATACTTGTGCACACGCGGGGCGGCAAAACCGCCACCGACAATTTATCTTAATTACTTTCCGGGCGGGAAAAAAGAAGAAGAAAAAAAGCAGAGACACACAACATTAAAGTGTGGAGAAAAAAGGAACACAGTGGCCGACAATAAAAATGTTAACTGTGCGGCGGGAATGGCAAAAATTGAGCCAATTACAGAAATGTATTTTAATCTATGCAAAGAAACATGTATGTATATCTCATTATTAATTTAATTACATGAATTGCTCAGTGTTTTGCTGTGGTGCTCTTGTCCGAGGGACACAGAGAGTGTGGCTAATAAAGTGCTGCGAGAGTGCTGATTTTTTTTTGGGGGTTAATAACTCCCCACCGGGCCACAAGTCATGGACTTGATTGTCCTCTTGGAGCTCTAGCGTCATCTGTGGCACATGGAAAATCAGCAGCAGCGTCCTTTGCGAAATATACCTCAGTAAAGCCACGAATTAATAGTATATATGGAGCTTCTAAGAGGAATTTATGACCTATCTTTGCTGCGATTGAGGGATTTACGGCTGCGAGAGGAAATCGTTGCGTCATCTTCCATAAGTTTTACGATATGCTCAGCATCTCAATTCAATTGGGATTGTTTATCATTCGACTTTTGTGAAGGAGGGGTGGGAGGGGGGCGCTTGGGGAAGGGCGCGAGGAAAGTCATCTGAAAATTCAATATTTGACCAAAAAATTGTCTGCCAGAGAGTGTCTTATCACTGTCTCAGGCGCGCTCTTTTCGTCAGAAAAAGTTCTACCACGGAAATTTGAACAGTGCGCGATATGCGCGATGTGTGAGATTTACAAACAATGAGCACCACACCATTAAATGGTATTTACACGAGCATTGTTGATAAAATCACAAAATTGGAGTCATCGAATTATGCCCATGACATTCTTGGAATCCACCTTTTGTGTGGGCAGCACACCCTGATTGATAGCCTATAATCAGTAAACCTTCTACGAAAGTCATTCACTGAGTTCTGGTGCTCCACATTTTATCCACCACTGCTTAATGCTAAAAAAAAGATCGGAAGTCATGAAAATGAGTCACTCATGCTGGGGGGACTAAAAGCATCGTAATTTTCAACACCACTCATCGTGAATATTCATAGGATATTTACTTGAGATATTTCTGACATCATTAATTTTACATTCACTGTAAATCTGTCAGCCAGTGGAATCAATGGTCCTGAGAAGAGAATCTTTGCCAGTAGTTGGCGGGAATTTTTACTGTCTTATTAAAACATATGGCCTACAAAAGAGAAGCAAAAATTGTCTTTCGCCCTTTGGTCGCTCATAACTTCCCGAGTGCGCGCGCGAGTGCATCGCATCTCGAGAAGCGCAATAAAAGTTCGAAGAAGGATGGAAACTTTTTGATCCATTAACCGCTCAGCCATCATGCTTGAGAGTCTCTCTGGGTGATATTTTTGAAAAATATGTATAAGCGAATGACTTTATAACCGGGGATTAATTCATTTTTTACGACACCATCAACTTTGCCAGCAGAAATGCGCGGTGTTATTTAAAAATTCCATTAAAAACTGATTAAAATTTGATACAAAACTTCCCACCCATCAAACTATTTTGTCAATATATATACACACACACAAGCTAAACTCACAGCAAAATCAGGACCAAACAACTTTTGTAATAATTTGCATTTATGAAATTATGATCTCTGGGCACGGCGGTGAAAAAAAAACAGCAAAACAAGAATTTCGCATATTGCAGATCAACTTTGCAACAATACCCTTAGAATTATACATGATTGGGGAAAGTTTGCCGCCAGAAATCGCACAACGAGGGTGCAGAAGAGCATCGCTAAGCTGCCAGAGTTTAAATTAGTCATGAAGAGTGCGGTTTATGCAGGAGAGAGGCACTCGCAGTAGCTAAGTAGAAAAAGACGGAGGTTTACCCTTAATCCCGACAGCCGGTATTGATTCCTCCCCTTTTGCCAAGGGGATTTCAGACTGTCACAGTTAATCCATCAAGCCAAAGAGAGTGAGCATCTTTGGCAATTAGGATAAATGAGTCTCTCCTTGGACTGAAAAATCACAAACTTCATCCCATATACTTGCTTAGGGGGTATTTTCTTTATCCAGGACGACAAAGAGGGGGAAGTTTAAAAAAAATATCTGTGGCTTCTCGCACAAAGAGCAGAAAACTTTGAAAATAGTAACCATTTTTGTAAAATCATTCTACTTTTTACATGGTAATTATATGTGCAAATAACCACATCACAAGCATAATTGCATTTGAATGTTTGGCGTGAATTTGTTATGCAAATTTTGTGGGAGTTTCACAGGATCCTTTTTGCATAACGTATATATTATCGATCAAGTGACACAGAAAAAACGTCACCCCGAAAACTAATAATCGTAAATCAAATTATATGATTTTCTCTAATTATTCCACTTTCCCAAGCTATAATGGCTGGGGTTCTTAAAGTGAATTTTTATATACCTAAAGACTTTCCCTCTGCTTTGCACGTGCATTTGGCGTCTAAGCCCTCAAGAGTCGCGAGCTTCGAGCTAAAATTAGTCGCACTTTTGAGGTGAAACTCGATGCCACAGTTATGGTAAGGATATTTAAAAGTCGTAAATGCGACGGTAAAAGCCTCCAAAATCCTTCTCAGGCGACTTTTTTCCATGCCATTTGCGACCATAAAAGTGCAGCAATTGCTGCTAAACCTTCACTTTTCCCCGCATTTCTCACCTGACCACTTTAATGCATTAAAAGTGTATGTGATTTTCCGTCACCTTTCACACCACTTTTTCCACCCTCTCTCGCTCTATGTATCTCTCTTTGTCTTCTAATCCTCGGGGTTGCGGTGCAATTGAAACCCCTTTGAGCAATTTTCCGGGAATTGGTGAAAAATGATAATGGCATTTGGCGTGAAAGAGAATCCAGGGATTTCGTTTTATAGGAGAAAGCGGGGTGCTTTTGCAAGTGTGGAAAAAATCAATTAGATTTTATTTGTATAATAATTTTCCATCTAAGTTGATTGTGGAATATGCTGAAGAACTTGCACAAACAGTCGCATAAATGGCATTAAGGGAAATTTTGGTGGTTCACCACCGTGTCAAAATTCCAAATGGACGCAAATCGTGGGCAAAATGCACGAACAACTTTAATGTTTTGGCTCTTCTCGTTGCACCCGCACACGATGGGCATTGCGCTGCTCCGCAGTTATGGGCGAATCATATGTGTGCTGCACAAAAACAATATTCACTTGGGAAGTACTTTGGGAATATGTACTCCAACATATAGCGCCAGAGACAGTCAGGGCAAAATGTGAATTCTCACTTTCGTGGCGCGCGAACAGCCATGACAGACGTGCCAACACGTAACCGCATATTCTCTGCTGCTGCTGAACATATTCAGCGATTTTTCGACCATGCGAGAGCCCTGCGGATGGTATGCATGGCGAAGAGTTCTGTGTCCCTGCGAACACCAAAATGCATGACAATTTGCGTTTTCTAACTCGTGGTTTTCGGCAACACTTTTTCCCGCCATCCGCAATACAATTCACTCTCCAAACATAACACACACTCACGATATGATATGCGGGGTATTTTAATAATAACTCCATGGCTGAAGAAGAAGCGAAAGGCATGGATATGATTTTTACATCCCCAGAGATGTGTTATTGAACGGCTTGTTTTTCAAGTGCCCTTCGTGACGAGTGGTGAGATCCTGTCGGGGGCAAAAAGGGGTTGGTCTGGAGGGCACGCAGTGTGTGCAACAGCTGGGATAAAGAGTGGATTCCCATAAATTTCGTGCGCCCTTTTACTTTGCCTCGCCACAGGACTGCGCGCTCTTCCAGGTGAAATGCGAGAGAGGGACCCTCTTAACGACATGGCATCTCGCTCAGAGATTGCCGATAAATGATTGCTGTTTATGTCCTGTACCTGGAAATTAGTGCGGACGATATAATTGCAGTTTGAGAGATCACATCTTCGGCCACCAACGCCAAATGTCTCAATAGCTGGGATAGTGTCTTTCAAAAGCTCATATATTCCCATGTAAGCATCGGCATCGAAATGGCCATAAATGCGGAGAGGGAAAAACACAAGAAAATCGATGTCTGTTTGGACATTATCATTCTCAACATCTATTCTTTGTATTTTATATTACGGCTGCTCACAAGACAGTGCGTGTGTCCATTAAGTCGCACCAAATGGCCATTGCCAGTGACTTTTGTTAGTTATTCACAGCGAGAATCCCAGAGAGTCACATCCATACCTGGATTTTTTTTCCTCCTCCTTCTGCGCCTTGATCCCTATCTCGCCTCGTCGAGAACACTGAAAATATTTATATATCGAATATTATCATTTAACGACACTGATGAGGGTTGTGCGGAGGAATTTCCCAACCAACTGTGCGCGCGATGACTGATTCTGGAATTTTTACGGTTGTCTTCTGATTAATTAGAAATGTACGCCTCTTCTGGGCTTTAGATTCACCCAGAAACCCCTTTCAGGTTGCACTTGGAGGCCGGCTTTGGCCAGTTTTAGGGGCACTTGAGTTTTCTCAGACACCTCAAATGTGAACTTGGTCAGGATGTGATAAAGAATTGCCTTTGTCTCCATCAGAGCAAATCTGGATCCTAATAGCAAAATAATTTTTGTATAAACGCTAAATGAAAATCTACAAAACTCACCTATGCAATTTCGAGGACCCACGCCAAAAGGTAGATATGTGAACGGTGTGATCTTATACTTGTTTTCTTCATTGAAACGCTCAGGATCGAATTTAGACGGATTAGGGAAGTACTTAGGATCATGATGGAGACTCACCACTGGAATTAAGATACTCTCTCCTACTTTCATTTCGTAACTTTTGCCATCCACTTTCATAATGTATGGTTCAACGCATAACCGATCCAGAGCAATACCTGGCGGCCAATATCTTAGACTCTCTGCAATTGAGAGGTTTAATTATACCATAAAGTCTATAGATTTGGAGTGAATTGAATTGTACAGAAGATATTCTAAGGACCGTAAAGGGGGGGGGGGGGGGTGAAAAAAAGAAGATATTCACCAGAAATCACCATGTCAAGGTATAGCATGTTATGCAGAGCTTCATACGTTAAAGGTCTCCCATTCAATTTCTGTTCAGTGGCATCAACTTCAGTTAGTAAGGCTTTCTGAACATCGGGATTGGTTGCCAGTTCGTGAGCCGTGAAACTCATGCAAGTGCTGACAGTCTCAAAGCCCGCCAGAAAGAAAATCATACACTGAACTGTCAGATCGTCTTCCTGCAATTCTTAAGAGACAAAACACTCTTCATGTTATATCATATTAATCTTAGAGTCAAACTCTAATCTAAAACTCACTATTATGATGAATAGCTTCGCCGACTGTGCTTTCCTCGACCACAGAAAATCCTGCCTTATGGCTTTCTTGATCATCACGTTCTTCTAGTTTTCCTCTTCGCGCCTGAATCAGCAGATTAATCATGTCCGGACGAACTATACTTTCCTGTTCCCGATGTCGGATTGTATTCCATACTAAGTCTCTGAAGAAGGTACAAAATTTCCGCTCAAAGATACTGACTTTCAGAATCTTAGCGAGTTTCGGAAATTGTGTCACAATGAAGAACTTTAAACTGCGAATTCCTTTGAAGTTAGTCGCTTGCTTTCCGGCGAGATAAAACTCATTGTTTTGATTGGTGAGTGAATCTACTTTGAGTCCGAAGGCACAGGTGGCAATGACGTCGTTTGTTAGTCTCGTGAAGAGGTCCTTGAGGTCTATCAAGAAAGGTTCGTTGTCCTGCACCTGGTTCTGTAAGTAAGACACAGTATCTGTGCAACAGTCAGAAACCAAGTGGAACATGGTTCTCATTTTGCTGCCGGTAAAAGCTGGACTTAGAGTTGATCTCATATCTCGCCATCTTTGGCCTTTGAGTATAGCGAGACTTCGTCCAAATATTGGCTCAATGTCTTCATCTAGGTTCGCTCGATGATCTTGGAAGTGATCAAAGTCCTTCACCGTTAGCTGCTTAATCAGTTCAGGATCACGAATCAGGAACATTGGTTTGCGCATCTCAAAGATGCCAATGACTCTGAGTTCAAAAGGTTTTTATTGTTGGTACTTCCAATTGCAAAATGACGTTATAAGGAGCATCTTTTTAACTCACTTTTCTTTAGGGAAATAATCGTAGAAGCCTTGCACGACATTTTTGAAGCTGTTTGTCTGCAGAATAACATTTTTAAAGTTACCAAACAGGGGAAAAGGTGGTATAAATTTAAGGCCTCGACTCTGAAAACTACTGTAAGTTGCTGTGCTCCATTTAAAGGCTAAATAGATGAGAAAATACACAAGCAAAGCCCACTTGGAGAATATTAAGCCCACCAAAAAGCCAATCATCTTGAATTTGGTACTGATAAGGCCAAAATTACTGATTATCTTCTAGAGATAAAGCACCACACCAAGAAATAGTCTATCCGGCCAGACTGACAACCACGAACTGCGATGTAGAATCGCAATATTCCCCACTTTAGATGGTTGTTTAAAAATAGCACGAAAAACACATGGCAGTGAATCGGTCTTTTTTCGCTCTTTATCGATTTTTATCCGGCAAAAAGACAAACTTTTCCCATCGTCATTTAAGTATGGAATTTCTTTTTTTTCTTATTGAATCCCACCTGAACAACAACCCATCTCGCGCGTATTAAAATTGCCGTCTGAGTGCTGTTAAAATTCAACTTTATTTTCTCTCACAGTTGCGAGATTTCCCTTGGAAAATACACCCTCAAAGAAGAGCTATATGGGAAAAAAAATTCATTTCCAAGAGGAGATTCCCTTAAAATTACATATAAGAACGCCAGAGAGACAGAGGGAGTTTGAGGGAAAAAACTAAGCGCTTTTTCCAGCGCGACAAGGATTTTCTCTCATATAATGAATTTTAAATCCTTTTTATCGCTTTTATTACTCCCACCACTTCGTCCACGACACTTTTTATTACCATTAGTCCATTCTTTACTCTTAACACTGGCCAAGGCAGAGAGAGAGAGAAAGAGAGACAAAGTTTACAAACTTTTCTGCGCGCACTATCACAAGAAGATGAATGCTAGGGAGATTTATTGAAGAAATAACATGATACTGGAGGAAGGACGAAGGAAAAAGCCTTAGAAGTTGCCTTTGGGAAAAAATGGAAAATATTTTCACCGTGGGTGAAGTTTAAATTATCCAATCTCTCTTAAACTGGGTAACTTTGACATTGTTGAGAATGAAATAATATTGCAATCTTCACCATTGCGATCAGACTGTCAGCACATTGTGAGAGTTGTTTTTTTTTTATTTCACTACCCAATTTGCAAAAATCAAGGGGGTCAACAAATGCTTAGCAGTGGTGGATTCGGTGTAAATGTTGTGTGTCATTTTCATTACAATAAATTCATTTCCCACGATTATTAAGAATATGAGTTGTGAAGTGACTGGAAAGGATTACTGGCGGGAATAATGTAGTCTAATTAAAATTCTTTCTCCGCCTGAAAGCCATAAGAAATGTGAACAATTAAAGCCATGCCAGAGACTAAAAAGCTTTGACGGTATTTTATAAACAATTTACATGAAATGACTGTGAAAACGAGAGTGAGAGAGAGAGAGAGAGTGATGAATTGTACTGGAGGACAAATGAAACACTCTTGCTGCCATTCTTTTTTCGTCACACACAGAGAGCATTTTATATCAAAGAGGCGAAAAGCTTCTCATATCGCTCCCAACCCCATGGAGGGTATTTTGCATCACAATGCCACCCTCGACCGTGGTTCACGGTAAAATAAACCAAGATGAAAATGCCATTTGAATGTCTTTTGTGGTGGCGCATATGAACACAACATTGTGCACTTTTTACCTCCTGTCACTCTCTGTATTTTCCCATCTTACACTTTAATACCTGGGAAAACATGAAAGAAACAGACCCTTGCTTTTACTGGCGAAAAAAAGAGAGAGAAAAACTTCAAAGGAAAGGGAGAAAATATGTGAAATGTTTAAGAGGTGATTCATTAAAAATTGCATAATGGATTTTTAAGAGAAGAAGAGCATTATGGTGATCATGCGGATTTGAAATCTATACAGCATCCATATAAAAATATATATATAATGTATTTCCATAAATCTTTTTATAAGAGTGTAGAATACAGTGCTGGTTTTATTGTCTCGATTCTCTTGTCCCAACACAGTTTTTAATCTTTTAATAAACTTCAATCTATTTATTTAGACTCTTTAATTACATTACTTGAATGACTCTAGAAAGAAAAAAAACTTTATCACGTTGAATATCATCCAGAGGAAAACTGTCACATTCATTCATTCATTCTTGTGATGCTCTTCGGAAATAATCGAGCGGATGAAAAGCAATTTCCACAATTATCCAGAGTGGCTCATCAATATTTGAAGTTACTTCAATTGTGTTCCACTGTTTAATGTTCCAATAATCTTGCACAGCACCTTTTTGCATGCAGCAGAAGCGCTGGGAAGAAAGCCAAACAGAATGGAATAGTATGCACAAATGGATTATTGTCTTGGAAATGGAATGAAAGTTGTTTGCATGGACGTGACACAATTCTATACCAATCGCCATATACTCAAATTGATTGTGAATTGGTAATAATAACCTGTGTCAATTTCATCTATTTCACTTTCACACATGCCCATGTGAAAATGGTATGAGTGCTTCTTTTTTTTCGGTATCGTCCTTCATCGCTGGTCAAATTAGATATATCGACACACTGTTAGAGATGGCGGTGAAGATTAGTGGCAATTAGAGCCTTCAGTGTGTCTTATGAATGGGACTCTTTATTGTGCATTGTCTCACGTTTTCACCATATAGACAATTTCATCCTATTCTTTAACCATCAGTATATGTTATATAAAAGATAACCGCGTGCGTTGTGTCGAGTGTTTTCTCATAAATAAAAGCAATTTCAGATGCATTTGCTAGGCATTAAGAGTCCCAAATGAAGTTCAATTGAGTGATATTGGTGGAAAAAAGCGTATAAATCAATATAAAAATGCCTTGTTTGATTCGTATGAATTGAACAATGGCCCACAAAGTTCACAGTCAATATAGAGACCATAAGGAGTTCCCAATGAGCTCACAATTGACACTTGGCCGCATTGAGTTTGTCTTAGAATTTATTATGAAAATGTCAATTCCACTTGACCCTTGAAGATTTTCAAGTAGAGCACCATCTCGGACTCTCTTCAAAGCACTATCTACACACGCTAAAATTCATCCTCAGAATTGAATTGATTTTGCCATGTTTTGTACTAAGTACACAAAAAAAGAGAGAAGATGTAATTAAAAGCGAGCCTTTAAGAACAAGAGAGACATGATGGGAAATAATACAGAAGCATATCCATTTCCTCTCATTTAATCGGATTCTGAATGTGCCCACGAATCCTCTTTGTTGGTCTCTTTCATCGTTCTCTTATTTTGCCTCTTTCACCGTCATCAATATAATGCGATCATAACGAAAGAAATATTAGTGGAATTCTCAGAACACACACACACACACAAACGCACAAAGCGAAGAGAGCGAGAACATTAATGATATTATGTACAACAATAATTTATCGAATATGTTGGATTGAACATTCCGAGACCATAACAATTGTTACCCGAAATTGATTTGTTTCTCTTTCTGATACTTTCAGGCATGTTTTATAGATTTAGTTAAAGAGAATTTATAGGAACCCCAAATTGGACTCTTATTTATGGGTGAACAATGTTGGGGGACATTTGTGAAATTAAGACGAGATTGATGAATTCGTTGGCTTTTTTCTCTCTCTCTTTCTTCCTCCATTGCCAAATTTGCACGAGATATCAAGTGAAATGTTGAAGTATTTTGACTGGATTTATTGCGAGGCTTTTCAGTGAAATTGATAAGGCAATTATTTTCCACTAAAAATTTCTGTATTTTTTTTTTATTAACATCAGAAGTGCGGTTTTTTATTGTTGTAATTCCCAATAATGCATGGAAGATGAAATGATTGGGGCTGCAGATGAAGAGGAGGACGATGATGACAGGGTATATAAATGATGAGTTACGCGAAATATGCAGCGAGCTCATTAATGTGATTAGAAAAATCCGCTTGGTTTTTGTCCCATCGCAGCTCAGTTTTTGATATTTTATTATACAATATATGAGGAGAAGCGATTTCGGAGAATCACTGGCGGTATTTTTCGACATCGCTAATTGGGATACTTTGCCTAGAGTGGCATGATCGTCGTCTGCGCGGGCCTAAGAGAATGCGCTCTCCATCTCTCTCTACCTTTGTGTTCACTCAAAGGATAGTAATTTGGCGGTTTTTTTTGGGGAAAATATTCTCTCTCTCTAATTACAATAATTCGCTTCATAGCAATGGCAAATCAACTATGTGGCTAATGAAGTCTGTCGATTTTGAAGCAAATTTGTGCCCCCTTCGGGCTTTCCCATGCCGCGCCAGAGAACGTGATCGGATTTGCCTTTGACTAAATGCCACAGCGCGGACAGCGCGCGCGATCTTTTATTATTGCCAACAAATCTCGTCTCATAACACAATTGGACATTTGAATGCGACAATATTTTTCACCACTTATCCTTTCAACACACAAGCATTCACCGCAATTCTCACACACACACACACACACACACACACACACATTTCACATTATCGTCGCCAAGGGAGAATTTATATTTATGAAATTCACGACCATTCCTTCTGCCCTTCTTCTTGAGCAGCATCCACGGTTTTTTTGGACGAATAAATTCCAATGAATAGAGGTGTCAATTCAAACGAGGGTGAATATGTGAAATATGTATTCAAAGACTCTACATAGCGATTGAGTTGCGATTGTGACATTTGAATTTTCTCCATAAATATCCCTTTTCGCCAGTTTGACACATATTGAGCATGGCTTCGTTCTTCCAGATTGTAAAATGCGCTGAATATAACATTACAAGTATGTTTCTAAGTTAAATTATTGAGAGAAATGGTCCTCGAAACCCCCAGAAACAGTCTCAAGAGAGATCAAGACATTTTGATTGCTTCTGGAGCGTTTGTCATGCTGCAAATTAAAGCCAGCTAATATGCTTTTTATCTTTTATCATTACGACATGACAATTCTTCAATTAAGTATAGTCTATTAGACTTCCACTCCTTATAAAATGCGCGCAATAAGAACACCTGAAGCATTGCTTTTTATGGGGAACCATTAAAATTTTTTTTCCTCTCATTCAATTGAAAGGAAAGGAATTCTTTCATTTATTAACAATTAAACAAGCAAGGAAAAGCCTGCATTGTAAAGTTGGCAGTATAATGTTAGAAAGGGCATGGCTTGTTTGCATGTCTCAAGCAAAATTCCTCGATCTTTTTTATATGTGTGTCCGCCTATTCAACCGGCAGCCATGCAAACAAGTATAAAACCATTTCCTCGGCCATTGAAATATTAATTCCACATTGGAAATCAGTTATGGGTATTTACGACTGTGCAATCACATGTAATGATATCATGTCACTTCACATCAAAGTCATGGGGGGATGTTGTCGTAAAACCATCGTCGGAATGGCATCGTAAAATTTTTGCACCAATAGCCGTTTAATTTTTGCCAGAGCATAACTTTATTTTACACTGTGCTGCGGAGAGTCAATTCAATAAATTATCATGCATAACCTAACGAAATATTACATATGAACCGCGCGCGCGAGTGTTGTGTGAACTCAGCGCGGCCATAGAATGAGGCCATGTGACTTCCAACTGATTCCGCTTCATGCAACACCGCATATGTCTGGATCAATTTTTGTTATTCGCAAGAGTACACCCAAGAGCCATTGGACACGCGGGGCGAGCGAAGGAGAGAGATTAAAGTGATGGATACAATAAAATGATATTTAACGATTAAAGCCACACGGCTTTCGATGGAGGGGAGGAGAGAAAGAGAGAGAAAAAAGTGCCAGAGCGCGACTATAAAATCATTTTCATACCGTATACAAGAGGTGGAGAAGCAGCTGAGGCGTCAAATATCGTCTTAATGGACAGAAGAATTGCTTTATTTGGTCATCTCGGGGGCCTTTTTTCGGCTCTTGAAACCCAGAGAGACTTTCTGTGTCGTTCAAAAGGATTAAGCGGACAAGCTAGAAAAAGTATACATTAAAATTTCATTACCTGTCGTCCGGTTGCAGATGCAGAGAGATGCTATCGGAAATTGAAAACGGGAATGCATTACCTTTCAAGAGCCATCCAAATACTCTCGACACATGAGTTTTTTTTTTCTTTGAGTATTTATATGTCCATTAACCAATTGAGACGCAATATAAAATTCATTTGAAATGTGATTGATTAATATAAGTGGAAATCCAAAGAATTTCTCTCCTTCTCCGATATAGATGGGCTAAAATGAGGTTTTTCTTTTTGCTAATGCTTAAAAGTGTCACGACCTCAGCGACACAACATCCATTATAATAATTTTAAGATTATCATGGCATAAAATATATACTTGAGCTTTACGCATGCTGCAGTGGTTGTTCGTGCACCACAAGAGCATTTCAAGATAATAAAATATTTATCTCGGACGTGGGACAAAAATTTCATAAACTCCATGGAGGGATTAAAATCCTCCAGAGGGATTTTCGTCTGTCTTTTTATCGTCTCTCTCTCACCCCTGATGGAAATATACTCACACCTTTTTGCACATGATGTCTTTTTGTTGGTGAATTCACGCTCTTTTATTCTCATCTCTCGATATATGGATTTAGAGAGTCTCTAATCTGCACCCAAAACTGTTCATTTCATGCTTTCATCACCTTTTGCACGGCTTGTGTGTGATCAAAAAAGAGGCTGATTTTCTGGGTGAAAAGAAATTCTATATAAGAAAATATAGTGTGACATTTCTTTGCTCTCTTGATGCATCTTTCACCGCGCCTGTCTTTTGTCACACAATGAACTGAAAGGATTTCCACACAACATAAAGAAATCTCCGCAACTAACCAAACATTTTGAGTCTTTGGCCTCTTCAAAGCCATTCCGATGTCTTTTTTTTACTTTACTAGGTTCTCGATAAGCTTTGATTTAATGCCAAAGATAAATTGCTCTCAAACCAATTTCGTGAGATTTTCTCTCCCTCTCAATCGACCAGATTAATTTCTTCATTATAATCCTCAAATTATGCAGCGCACGCATAAGTTATGATGGATGCATTCCAATAATTTGTCCGATATTTGATGTTCTGAGGGTAAACATATCGAGACATCTGACGAGGGATGTTCGCTTGAAATGTTTTCTCTTCGTCCCCGCATTGTAAATCCTTCGAAAATTGTTGAGGGAGAGGTTTTCAGATGAGACGTTTTACCTGGGAAGAGAATCATATTTCATGGATGATAGTTTTCAATATTTGTTTCCATACAACGGCACACATATGATTTCTTTTGAAGTGTTTATCTCCCCATTGCCTTGTCGTGCCATTTATCTCCTGAAAGGCACAACAAACAAACATTTTTTCGGGATGGAGGGAAAAGGAGAGAAAATGGCTTTGTGGGTGGCGTGAGGAAAAAATTTCTCTGAAAGGTTTCAGTGTGTTGTAAATATTGTTAAAAATTTCTAATGGCTTGAGCCAAAGAGACAAGAAACGAAATATGGTTTTAAAGAAGCATCAGCATCAGCGCATAAAAAGCAGCTGTTTCCACTATAATTCATATATATATGAGAACGTCAGATTTACAAGAGTGATATTGGATGTGACGTCTATTAACTACTTTTACGCTCAAATAAATTTTATTGAACTATCAAAAGGCAAGAAATGGGTTATTAAATATTAAAACTTCTCTTGCAGACTTAATCCTCGCTCTCTTGGACTGAACGTTTAAGTGGAGGAACAGTTTTTCCGTCATCATCATCATCATCATCATCAGTGCATTGCCTCAGCTTGGTGAGTGTCTGAAAAATTTTTCACTTGCCAGTTTACCTGAGAAATGAGTATTTTTTCATGATGTGAGGATTATTTTTGACCATATGTGGAAAGGGTTTCTTTTTTTGTGGCCTCAAATGTATTAGCTGCAGTATTCGGGCTGCATCCTGTCGATTGTAATTCCATTTTATTGAGTATGATGGTATTATTGACTCATGTGTGCACTCAGAGAAAAGCATGGACAAATTTTGGAATCTTTAATTAAAAAAAAGCATAAATTGGTGCGAAAACAACCATTTTCCATAAAGTCTTCAAGTTTGTTTTCTCACTTTAAGTGGCGATGATTGTTGAGCGGAAACATCATTTTGCTGGAGTGTAATTCATTTATTCAAGTCTCATGGCACTGGATTACGTGGATACATCCTCAATAACGACCGCACGGAAATTAAAAGCACTCCCCATGGAAATAAAAGGAATGTTAAACACTTTTATTGCAAATACAACTCCTAAATAAATTCAATTCTCTGGGCGCGCCTCTGGGATTAAATTGATTTGTCGGGAGTTTGCCAGGAGAACGAAAAAAAAATTGATTCCCTATGAATTGGAAAATAATATTCTCGCATGTTATAGTTCATCATTTGTACATTATATATTCTCTCCGCTTTGGATATCGCAAGGACTCTCTCTAAAAGTGCTAAAAATCTGGCTTCATTCTCTGCATGAGGAGACTCACACAATGGCATGAATGAGCATATATAAAGCCCATTTCGCAATATTTTATCCAATTCAATTTAGCATTTTGTGCAAGAGAGAGAGAGAGAGTGGAGTGGTGGTGAAAAGGGGGATGGAGAAAGTGGGATGAAATAATGGGGAAAGTTTGAAATATGCAAATTTCATGATTATTAAATTTTTGGTAGAGTAAATCGCGCAAGTTGGGGGCTCGTGAGTTTTGACTTTTCTTCTGATTGAGTGGCGGTTTAGTATTACAAGACACTTCCCACCTTCCCCCTATTGTTGCACTGTTTATTTCTAATGCGCACACAAAATCCACTTTGTGGCTCGAGCTCTGAATGCCGAGAGTTTTCTGGGCTGGGATTGCGCGCGGAGTGGGTTTCATGGGGGTGGGAAGAGCGCCATCAGCCCTCAATTCAAAATATTAGACAACACAGCGAAATGAAGTAGGCGTTACAATTCAATTTCGCAAATTTGCATACGATTTGAATATGAATTTGAATTTGAGGGGTTATGCGAAGAGCCGTTTGGGAGTTTCTCTCCCACGAGAGAGACTGTCAGATCTCATCCGCAGCACATTTTGCACTTATCATTTTATTGTTATTCTGAAAGGAGATGATTTTTCCACCCCTTCCTCCTCCTCCTCCTCTCCCCACCCAAAAGCCGCCACCCTCGCGCGCAAAGCCATCGCGGCTTGACAAGGGAGAAAGAGAGAGAGAGAGAGAGCGATCGTCCTTAAATGTGGAGCTATAAAAGGAGAAGGAATTTACTCTATATTTACAGTGCAATATTTTTCATGTATGAAAACTCAATGTTGCTGGGTGGATTATATTTTCACAATTCTTATCATTTTTCTTCCTTGGGCGAGCACAAAAGCTTTTGTGTGCGTGTGGATGGGCTGTGGAGACGGGGGAGAGAGTGGTGAGTCTGTATGGTGAATGAAGACGTCTCTAACGACTTTCCCAACATCGGCAGAGAAGTTAAGCTGAGATGCCAATGGAGCGACAATGTTTAGATGTGACATGACAGCTCATATTTATATTGTTAGCGAGAGAAGAAAAAAAATATTCTTGCCATGAGAGAAGATGAAAAGAGGTGTTTTCGTAAAATTCACTCACCTGAAAGTGAATTTTATGACATCAAGTACCAGTCAATTATGCGGAGGTTCTTTTGGCGAAGACTTCCAGCTTCAATACATACATATATGATGTTTGTTACACGAAGCAAAGCAATTGGGACGATTAGAAAACTTTTCTCAAACAATCTAATTGCAGCACAATAGCTTCTGTTTAAGAAAGCATATCTCTATAGCGCGATGTTACAAGACTAAGAAATCAATCCAATTTCCCTCTATAAGAACAAACTTTACACTTGATTAACTGCTGTTGTCTTTCTGTTATCGAATTACGCACGAAACATTCAATGAGAAGAAAACATCGTTACAATTTTCTCTCTCTCTCTTGCTTTTTTTGTTCTCCTTCTTTAGAAAGCATAATAATAAACAATTACGCGGGTGTTTCTCGAGAATGGAAATATAAACCATTTCTGTCTCGCAAAGAGCATACCTTCCAGGTCTTGCAGCCCAGGAAAAATAATTAATGGGAAGATAACAGGAAGCGTAAGCGCTGTAAAGTGGAGGAAGACAAGAGAATGACTTCCTGAGTTAGTGGAAAAATGCCATTTTATCTTTTGCTAAGCAAAATATGCAATTTTTCCATGCTGTGTGCATGTCAAGCCAAGGGGTAACTAACTGCATTTCATGACTTTCTCATAGGTGAGATTTTTGAACTACTTTCTCGCAAGTTTTCTTATGATTTCGCATTGCACTCTGTAGAATCCTGAGAAGTATACAAGGACAATTAATGTCTGCACATATTTACCCCCTTGATGTCAAAAGTGCTTGAGGAGAATCTGAAGATCAAGAGACGGAAGGGTTGCTGGTCAGTGCATAATTGGAGCGCTGTGACGCAAAGTGGAGTCACCTGTGAATGTCATGGAAATAAGTGTGTGCGGGGGTGCTTATTTTTTTTATGTTTCCACCCATCATTCAATATTGCTCCGCATAGACCACAGAAGCTGATGGGCTCCTTTAGCTTGGCTGTTTTTGCCAAAAAGAGAGACGGAGAGAGTCAAGTGGAAGGCTGACTTGGTTGGAGAAGAAGTGCGCGCCCTAAAGCTCACCAGTGTGTGTGGAATTCGTAAAAATGTGGAGCTTTCGGATCGCTGTGCACACGACATTTCTTCTTGGTGGGTGAAAATGCGGAAAAGTGGAATAAAAATGATGTATATTCACCGTCTTGGGACTCTCTCATCACAGAGGCGCGCACACAACCTGGGTTTGAGGGCGCCCTGCCCCCCCCCCCCCCCCCGCACAACGAAAGAGGGCACCCAGGAAATTTGCCAGGGAGTATATGGCATTATGTGTAGGTTTTTTTTATACCCCCAACGCCACTTTATATATCGTCGCTTAGGATGATTTATACGGGAAACGTTGGGAAAAATCTGGAAATTGTGCCAAAACCACGTCCAACATTGATTATGTTTCCCTCCTCCCGGGGAGCATTTTTTCCCTGGCTCCTTCCTTCCTCTCTCACTCTCTCCCTCTCTGTCTCTAGAGCTCAGCTTGACGACACTGGGGGTGCTGAACGATTTTCGAGGAGAATCTTCACCATGATTCAATTCCGCGATTTCTTTAAGTGCCATCCGCCTTATCTTCCCCACCCCATATAGCATGCGATCCTAAAGCTTGTGCGAGGGTGTATTTTGATATGTGCCGAACAAAATTGATGATATGATTGTATTACAATTTCCGCTCTTGTGCTCACTGGGAAAATTTCTGCCATTTGTTCCGCGAGCAACATGCATTTAAATTCACAACAACACACACACACACACACACACACACACACTATATAACACAGCATAAAATATGTTGTTGATAAACACCCATCACAACAACTTTCTAACTCTTTTTTCCCATCTCTTCTCTTTCTTTTGTGTCCTTCTTAAAATTCTAATTGTGTTGTCACAAACACAGGTTCCGATTTAATTTTCTTGCGGTCTTGCCTCAAGGTTCAATCGATATTTTAAAATGTACAGTCATGCGTCTGCGGTAGAAGTGCGATGAAAGGTTCTTTGGCGTTTGGGGCAAAGACTGAAACCCCTTTTTCAGGAGAGAGAGATTCAATAAAGTTTTCAGGTCACAGATTAACCGAAAAAGGTTAAAGTTTCCTTCTTTTTTTGTCTTACAAGTGTTCTTAGCGCGTTATTCTATGCGTTGTCTTGACAATGATTTAAAAAATTATGCTCCAACCAAGATGTGAATGCATAAGTAGGGAGTATTAATGTTTATACACACTGTCAAACCACTGTGAAATTCTATATAGTATTGTTTTTCCACGGAAGTGATAATACAGAGTTGAACATAGTATAAGAAGTTGCACGAATTTTTTTTTAACTCTAATTCAGTGACTGATGATTGCTCTGCTCTGCAGATCTTAAGAACAATTTCCATTCAGTATGTCTTCACCAATATTTCCGTCAAAACCATTTGGCCAAGAGGGAAAAGATTAAAGATGTTATGTGTGTTCGAACATCTCACCTTTAATCCAACGACTCTCTCGAGCACTTCTTAGCCAGTGAGTAAAGAATGGCACATATTTCTCAAGTCCACTCTCGCAACTGAAGTGAGTGTCATTTTTTATACGGAAAGTTCCATGAAATGAATTCGTGATATTCCTCATGCCTTGGCTTGCTTGAGGATCAAACCCACAAGCTGACAAATGGACAAACGATAATAAATTTTTCACTGCTTAAATAACATTAAAGGTGTCCAGAGAGAGGTCTCGCGCGTCGTGTGAGTTCTCAGGAATGCATGAGAGGCGCGCAGACGGGAAAAAAATCGATGGTGTATTGAATACTCTGATGGTATATATGGTGCATAGTGAAGAAGTGATGCTGCTGCCGTGAAATATTGGTGCTCGAGGCTACTGTTTATTGCCACTTGGAAATTTCCCTTTTAATAAACAACACATAAATCATCTTATTTTCCCTCGAGTGCGCCCTTAAAGTTGTGTGTGATCTCCTTCCCAATAAAGACATTCGGACCCTCTCCTCTTTCGCCCAACTCTTTTCACATATATGGGATATAGTGACAATTCCATGCGTCTGCAATGGCAAGACGAAATTCCCATAGATGCATCTCTGGTGAGGCTTTGATGTCAAATTGCTCTTGATATTGTCTTTGATGTGCGCCCTCCCTTGTCTTCACCACTTGAGAGCGCATAAAG